TATATATATATATTATACATTAAATAGTAAAAAATTTAAGTGAAATTTGAAGAATTAAACTAAGCAAAGTGTTAAATTAAGATGAAAGGCACATATATATTGAGATAAAAAAAAATCTAGATAAGAGAAATTTGTACGTAAATCTCATATATGAACTTTTATTTATTCAAAAATTATACTAAAATATAATATTCTATAAAGTCCAATTCAATTTGATTTTATATACAATTCATTACAAAGTTTGACAATTTCTTGACCGAGTCAACAAGTTTTTGACTATTTCTTTACCAAGTTGTTTAGACTAGTGACGTATTTGATTTTTGGTTCATCTACTACTTGTTAACATAATTTATAAATTAATGAATATAGAATAAAATAATAGAAATAATATTATTGAGTAAAGTCAAATTTGTAAATCTCTTTGGATAGAGGTACCACATAAATAGTGAAATCCTAAAATGATAACTAAAACAAAGGTCAAATAGAATGAATACAAAATAGAATCTAACATAAGGTTCTAGTATGAAGATCAATTAATAGAAATGAAATCTTAATTACTGTTGCGATGTCATATTTTATCAAAGTACAACTCAGTATAAGGCCAAAGTCTCGTCTCTAGCTTTATCATCCTCATAATGAACCTCATCTGCAAACATAAACCAAACACCAACAAAGATTAAAAGAAAGTGATAAACATCTTATTCTGGCTATCGATGTAAGCTATGGTCGAGTAGCCATACATAAGAAGCATTTGTTAAGTCAGACGAAGACAAAAACAATACCTAGCAAGGTTTTGAATGAGACAAATATAATGTATATTTTTATTACTAACAAGTGTGTTAGTGTTTCAGATACAAGTATAGGTAAACTGCTGAATAGAGAATATACATCCATACCAAATAAAGAGATATGAGGCAAGCATTGGATGAAGGCTGAGCAAACGAAGGGAATACATTAGAAGAAGACTCAGATGATAAAAGACCATGGACGATGGGCAAATCCTAGCAAGAGTACCCTAGACGGAGTCAAGTACTTACAATATCCAACTAGATGGAGACTCGAATACACAGACGAAGATCAAGAAAGCTGTATTGCGTCTGAAGACACAACGAGACGAACTACCTAACATCCACAGCTTCAGAAGAATACATAAAGAGATCAAAATAGAAGAAGGAAGATAGGACAAATGGACAAGCGTCTATCCACAAATCAAAATAGCGTGTGTCAGAGCAAGTACACCTATCAGCTAGGAAAAGACAACACCTCTACAGCAACAACATCAGGGAAATAGAGAGACATCTTAATATCAGTCACAAAAGCAAACAAATAGTATAAAAGATCTCGAGAAGTGCATATTCAACAAGCAAACATTTAATGCAAGATCAAAGGCATTAAATGTCACAACCCATGAAGATTGTACAAACTAGATGAAAGAATCAGATGATAGGTAATCAAGCGTAAGAACGAAGTCTGCTCATGGACGAAAGAGAACTACTACTAAAATGAGACACTAAAGTATTAGACGAAGCCTATAAGGAATAGTCAAGACGAGACAGATGAAGTAAGAGACATAGGAAACCAAGCGTCAAGAGATGGACAGTTGGAATACGAATATGTACCATATGATCACAAAATATCCATACAAAGTTGTGACAAGTGCAACCACTCTAAAAGCACAAATCAGACGAGGGATATGTCTAAGGCCAGAAGAAAGTCAATCGTGCATCAAGACCAAGAGCAGTACAAACTAAAAGAAACTCTGGACGAAGACAAGTTTTCCTGTAATGTTGACCAGACCATATAAGATGCCAAAACATCAACAACAAATACTCAGATGAAGAACAAGACGTGAGACGCAGACGAAGACTATTGAGCAAGCACTTATCTAGTCTCAAAAGATTATTCAAAGCATCATCTACGATCACATAGATGTTCTCAACGAAACAACAAAAGAAACGAAGATAAAGAGAAGCACGAAAAAGCAAAGCATGCATGTGTCAGAAAAAGTACATGACTTTTTCAAGAAAAAGGACAACGACTATATCGCTGCATGGCCAGAAAAAGACAAACAATCTCTGGGTCTTAGATAAAGTCAAACACTACAGCAATAGGACATAGAAGAATACACGCAATGTCTAAGAATAGGAAGCAACATTTAATGCAAGACCAAATGCATTAAATGAAAGGATCAAACTAGTCATGAACGACTATATTAGCTTCAATGGATATATGCAACGGGAAAATTTTACAGGCCTATAAATATGCAACAACATCAAACTGAAATAGGTTAGGCAAGAAGCAACGCAAGAATAATTATATACCTTGCCCTGACCTCGTGGATTGAAAGAAAAAGAGCGATATCAAGCCCATGAAACAGAGACCAGAGATGAGCATATGTAGTCATATGTATAATGTAATATTGTAACTTTATCTCTGTAGACTAAGGTGTTTGAAATGTCAATGATGGACTAAACCTTAGTGAGTGTTGTAAACTTTTGTATCCTCTCCATGAGAGTAACCCAAACACTCAAACACAAGTCTCTGTAAAACTAAGGTAGCAAACCTTAGTGAATGTAAGAAATTCCCAATCCTCTCTGTGAGAGTAACCCAAAACACTCAAACCCGACTATACAATTGTCAACATTGCAAAGCTTGAAGAGGCTAGGAAAAAAATACTTGTAAAGCCCGAAGGGGCTTGTCAAAGAATACCCACTACAAGCTAGAAGTGGCTGCTAAGAAAATACTAGCGTTGGTAGTCAAGCTGACGGGCCTGTCGCAACTCGAAAATTTCCGATCTAGCGACCTATGGTTTAGACATCCTTTTAAAGATCTCATAAATTAAGGAATGCCCGGACACTAGACTAATCCTTAATTAATGGTTTTGAAAAATGAGTTCATGGAGTCGCCACCAATGTTTAACTCAAAACATTGGAAAAAGAAAACGTTTTTAAAGATCCAATAATGGCCTTGATAACCAGAATTGGGTTCGAGGGTCGGTTACGTGTAAGGAAGGTATTAAGCACCCCTACAACGCCCTTAATTGGT